ACACCAACAATCTTTGATACACCATCATTATGAATCTTCAACACTCTAAAATTACTAGAAGTGTAAGATGTAAAGAACTCATTCCTCGGTGTAACATGCAGTGTAGCATCACTATCAATGATCCACATGTTCTTATCAGATACAAGATTAACAGACTCATAGTCACGAAGAAAAACAAAATCACCACATGTAATAGTAGTAACATGATCATCATTATGATAATTCTTTTTTTCCTTACCCTTCTTGTCTTTGTTATCCTTTTTCCACTTAAAACAGTATTTTTGGATGTGTCCAGCTTTATTACAATAATAACACCACATATTCTTGTATCTTGTCTTGGACTTGCTCCTGTTCTTGTCTATGCCACCCTTAGATTCCTTTTTCTGACATCTCCCCTTATTTTCAGTGACAAGCACCTCAGACTAAGATGAAGAACCATGTGCCTTCCTTCTTTATTAAGAGCACCATTATTTATCATTTGGAAAGAACCAATGTCGTTAGAAGCTGAGTTTGTAATTAAAACCCGAAATATCTCACAAGACTCTAGTAGAGTATTCAGTAGTCATAGTCTTCAAACTTCATCATAAAAATTTATACTCATTCTTGAAAGTTGATATATGATCCCTTGAAACCCATTTAAGTGATCTGAAATGGAAGAAATCTTCATGTACCTCAAATTCATCAAACAATTCAATAAATATAATTTATTATTGTCTGACTTAGAAGCATACAAGGACTCAATCTTCTCCCACAAAGTTCTAGCATATGTCGCATTAGCTATGTGATTATAAACATTGTCTTCTACATATTGCCGAATAAAACTGCACACTTGTTAGTGCTCAAAGTCTCATTCTTCATCGAACATAGAATCCGGCTTTTGTGTAGCAAATATAGGAAGATGCAATTTCTTTACAAACAAAGAATCTTTCATCTTGGCTTTCCAAGAATGATAATTTGTACCGTTTAAAGCAACAATTTTTGTATTTGTCTTCATCATTTAAACAAGTAAATATAGCCCAAAAAAACAAGAGCTCTGATTTCACTCTGATAGGGAAAAACAACACAACAACCTAAAATACGAAATTATGTAGCAGAAATAATTTCCTAAGCTTGTAAGAATATGTGAAGAGCAACAACAGATGATAATAAAAATAATCACAGCAAAGAACACCAATATTTTTAGCTTGAAAAAATCTTCTCAATATGAGAAGTAAAAAAAAAATAGGAACAAGTCAATAAGTAAAGTTCCACTAAGATCAAAGTATGAGTACAAGAGAGTCAAATCAAAATGCACAGATAAGTGTCTACAATGCAGTCAATATATCAAAGCTCTCAATTTTAAAGAACAAAGAAAAGAAAAGAAACATAAAAACTAAAAATTTGTCACAATGTGAGACTGATATATCCAACAACAAACTTCTAATTGATGATCCCAACGATCAAAATGAAGACCTTACGCCGGAATCTGCTGTTAAAATTTCAGCCTGATCCAACTGTTAATTAAGTGGCAATAACAATTTTACATAAGTGGCTCGGTAAATAAGTGAAACTATTTCTTTTCTTTTTCTTTTTTTAGGAACTACGAAAATGTTCTTTGTTCTGATCTAGCAAACATTTCTCCACTCATGTTAAGTAAGATAAAGTGGAGATTTGACTAATTTGAACTTTTTAGACACACACTTGTGAGGTTAACCCAATACAAGATGTATTTTAAGGACAAAATCATAACAAACTTCAAAGCAAATAATATATCAAACGTTAAAATTAATTCTAACAATATTATGATAGTGGATATGAGATTAGGATGATTTTAACCCGAATAAAATAATATAAGACTATTTATATAGTCCATAAAAAATATAAATAATTAAAAAATGAGATAGTGTATTTATTATTATTTCTTACGTAACTTTTTTGCGTTTTTTTTATTTAAGCGGAGAAAGATTTATTTTTATTCTTGAAATCCGTGTTATTTATTTAATTGAACGTAAACAAATGTGCCTCTTTTCCTCGTCATTCCAAGTTCTTCAGTTTCTATCTTGGGACTATATTTTTTTTTTTAAATGTAACAAAAAAGTTAGAACATGTGTTCTTCATAGGAAATACGAAAATCGTATTTTTATGGATAAACAACTTAGGTTTAAATGTTAATTTATAAATGGGACTAAAGTTCTATAAAACTTGACCTAAAAAAAGGTGTCTAGACGTTGAGGCAAGAGGTGACCCAATAATTGGACGTTGATCTATTTGTTAAGAACCCGCAATTTGGAAGTGGTGTTGGGCGATTAGTTTGATACTACACGTTTGAAAAATCGATGTGCAATGCCTTTCTTTTATGGACACGAAAGTCGCTTCAAAAATGTTAGGCAACGTGTTGGTTACTGAAAACCCTAAAAATTGAACTTGGTTTGCTTGAACAACGTGTAACTTTTTGAAGGTATCAAACAAGATTGTCAAAAAGTTTTCATATTATTAGATATGCACAGCTTGCTTATACCATCTCCAACTCCAAACCCTTACTCCTCCATTATTAGTATATACGCAAATGAATAGGGTACTTACTCATCTATCAATCCTTGGGAAGTAGACTTTTTTTTTCTTCTTTTTTCTGTGAATTTCGAAAGCAGACTTAGTGGTTAAGCATGGGCACCATCACCACGACGTTTAAAATAACTGTTAAAATCTGGAAATGATGTTAGTTTTAATCTATGATGCGATTTCACTAAAAAAAAAAAAAAAGAAACTGGGACCACATGATGCAGGAGGAATTTTAAACAGTGAAAACACACTTTATTGGCAAAATTAATGAATGGTAGGTAATTTGTTTCATGTGAGGACACAATATTGTTAAAATCTTGGATGTTTGATGTTTAAAAATTATTTGACTCAGACTAATCTAAGTTGAAACAGGTGAACTTATTAATGGGGGCAAAATCCTCACATTTTTTCTTCATTTAGAAGACTTGGAAACGTGGTTTAATTTAAAGGAAAACAAACTCCTTAAACTTGGACCACTGTACGTTATTAACCGAGTTCCTTTGTTTTCTTTTATAAACTTTCACGCCCACTGTATTAAATATTTGTCTTTATTAATTATTTACATATTCCTTAAATGTAGGCACTTTTATTTAGGGTGCAGATGATTCACAAGTAAACTATTACACCTTAATTTTTGTCAGATGTGAAGGCTAATATTCCCAAATCAAAATGCAGTGTGATGGACCCATTAACAAGGTTGGCCCAAGCCAGTCTTAGGCTTGGGTTACAGGTTGGTCTTGATTCTCTTGAAATCTTTACACACTAAAATCACAAGTCACAATCTGCATATGGAGTTACAATGACTAGTTTGAATCCAATATGTTAGATATTAATTTGCTTGATTGTGTTCGTGCTATGGCGGCTGATGACCAACTTATGACTTTCATTTAACTATTTTCTATTCAACAACAAAATTGATATTTAATCTAATTTTCAACATAACCTAATTAATTAAGTGTTTGGATTTTTTTTACTTAGCAATTTAATTCAATTATGATTGAATTAAATTAGATAGCAATTAAAAATATTGTGAGCTTTTTAATATTTCTTACTTATGTTTTTATTATACATGTATTTATCAAACAATATTCGCATATGAAGTTGTTTTTATAATAAAATTATTAAATGATTGACTTTTTTATTATAATACTATTGTGTAGTTGGATCCAAGTTCATTGAGTTTAAAACTCATGAATTCTTATTCAACTCAATTTTAGTTATATAAACTGAAACAACTCCACCTCAACATAACAATTCAATGTAATTCGAAATTCAATTGAACACAACACTACACGTAATGCACAAAAAGACAATTGAACTGGGTTGGATGGGTTCAACTAAACACAACCACACTTCAGCTGGAAGGTTGACGCACATGTGATAGTAGTAAAGTAAGTTTACATGTTTGCTATGAACGATTTATTTAGCTGGCATGAACCTTATGTAAGATTATATTTTAAGATAATTAAGAATTGGTAACCTTTAAGTTATGGTAATTAAGAGTATACTTAATTGTTACAAAACAACATTCAAATAAGAAGTAAAATGGGATTTGTCGTATTAGTTTCAACAGAGTAAAACCCTGAATGATCAAAGTAGGTAGGTCTGAAATGGTTGCAGTATAGAAGTAGTTGGCAGAAGAAGAGTTTGTACTTAGTCACAACAACTGTCAAGGAATAGGGGAAAGGTCATCCTCACCAAATTCTTAGAAATTTCTAACCTTGCTTGACTCAGACAAATAACAGATGAGTCATATTCGTCGTTCCATGTTAACCTAACATGTCTTTTTCTGGTTTCGAATGGGGCTAAGGAGGGAATGAGTGACAGTGCATTATCCTCTTCCTCCTGACTTGGGATAATTTCGTTCACCATATAATCTCATTCTTTGCTAACAATTTTTCAATCAAGTTCAACCCAGAGAGAGAAGCATCACAAATAACAACACAAGCTAAAAGCATTAGCCACTAGTTCACAGCAACCCATTCAGCCCATGTTTAACCTTAAGGAACTTATCTGATTATCATTTATGTCTTAAAATTCATTTTAACACATTTGAGTGGTTGGCATTCAAGAATGAAACATCAACACACCCAACCCAACCCAACCCATTCCACCACCAACTCAGAAATTTCCCAATCCACGTGCTACGAAACTTGAGAGATACTTATATCAGTGTGGGAAGCTAAGAAGCAAAAGACAGAAAACAAATTGGTGAAGATACAAAAGAGAATCAAGAAATGCCATAATTACAGGAAATTCTATACCGGTGCTTTATTAACATCAAGTACAAGTTGCAGCTTCACTCTCATAATTTGCCCCCATCTTATTATCTCAGATACTACGTTACAAGTAAAAAACTGTTGTTATCAGTATATTTCATATAATATTTTGATAAAAACTTCCAACATAACAAAAGAAAAAATTGTCAGCTTAAACTCAACTATAAAATTACAAAAGATGGTCTATATGTCGATGGAATCAGCACTAACCCAAGTCCAATAATGCTTTTTAACTGACACAGCCCTTTCCGCAAGATTCTTCTCCTCGAAAACCCCTTCATACTCATCAACCTCTTCCGTGCAAAAATCACCATCGGGCAAACCCTCCACCGTGGCGCTCAGCGTGTGCAAAACGTAGCAACCGGGCAAACCAGGGTAGGAACCCGAATCGCGCTCCTCGACCCGCATCTCGTACGATTTGGGATCGATGGTGACAATGTCAGCGATTTCGGAATTGGGTCTGGCACCAACAATCGCAGAGCCAAGCTCTTCGAAAATGCCTCTGACGGCAGCGGACTCGGGATCCTCGTTGGGCTTCATCTTCTCCGACAAGGGCCTGCCGCGTTTCCGGATGTTACCGTCAGACAGCTCCTGGTGCGACTCGAGGAGGAGCTTGCCGTGTTTATCGGTCACGCGGACGAGGACGACGTGGACGGTCCGAATCGGAGGGGTGGAATCGGCGAGGGATGTTTCGCCCTGGGAGAGTTCGAGCCAGAGGTTGTGGACGTTTTTGGTGCCGGGCTTCACGCCCCACGAGGCGAAGGACTCCGAGGGGAGGCGGGGTTTGAGCCAGTCTGAGAGGGACTGCGGGGACGCGAAGTTGTGACGGCGCGGGGGGAGGGTGTTGAGGGCGGAGGTGGTGGTGTTTTTGGAGGGTGTTGCGGTGATGGACATGGCGGGGATTTTGAGGAAGCGGCGCGGGAAGGGGCAGCGGGTGGAGGCGATGTGGGGCTTTGAGGAGGAGACGAGGAAGCAGACGGAGAGAGCCGTGAGAAGGAGATCCGGTAAGGAGGGGAGGGTCGTCAGAGGCTGGGGCGGCGGCGGGAACATCTCAAGCGAGGCGGAGGGTGGTGTGGCGTTGCGCCGCGTGGGGGGTGAAGTCCATGGTGGGAAATCGAGGAGGGGAGTGGGGTTGGGTCGGGACAAATTTGTGAAGTTGTTTTTTGCAATGAAAAAGAATGAGAGGTTGGGGATGGGTTTGTAAATTGTGCTTTGGGATTAGATATTCATTCTTCTGCTTCTCTTTTATATTCTTTATTTTCTTTTCTTTTTGCTTTTACTTCCTCTGCTCCCCCCTCTGTGGTTTGGGGCCTTTGGGCTTTCTTCGCATTACGTGGCTTCTCTATGCTTCATTCACTGTGCTCCCTGTCGATGGTTCTCATTTCTTGTAGTCCCACTCTTTCTTTTACTTGGACTCCAGCGCTACCTACTGTTCCCTGCATCTTCACAGGCCCAATAATCTTACGGACCTATGGATTTACTTCTTTTATTTTATTTTATTTAATATTCCCACCTCCTCGGGCATTAACATTTATTATGAATTAATAGTGGCAGAAAATGAATGTATATTTTAAGAAAACAATACGAAAGTGATTTCATTTACTTTCTTCATCATCTTTTTATTTTCTGTAGAATACTTTGTCCCATACCAGTGTATGAAAGCATCACAAAAGAGTTAAAAAAAATTAACACTGACAGAGGAATCCATAGATATACTAAAATAAGAAATTGGAAGATTTGGTTAAAATTATTCGTGTTGAAAGTCCCACATCGGCTACTCCACATATTGCCAATTGGTTTTATATTGGAACCTTAACATGGTATCAGAGCCAAAGCCTAACATATTTCCGGTTATTGTCATGGGCCAAAAGTTATCCTTTAATTGGGTCAAAAGTACCCTTTGTCTGGTCTGACAGGCTTCGTTGGAGGGGGCGTGTTGAAAGTCCCACATCGGCTACTCCACATATTGCCAATTGGTTTTATGTTGGAACCTTAACAATTCGTTTACAAAGTTTTTTATAAGACAATCATAGGTTATTCTCTTTATTAGAATAATATGACTCGTTATGTTGATTATTAAACTTGTTGAAGAAATAAAGTAAAATTAAGATATATTTTCTTATTAGAGGTTGAACCAATCATCTGAATAAGAATTAGGCAAAAAATTAGGATATATTCTAGAAAATTAAAATTTCCATTAAATAGAAGTAAAAATGAAATATTTTCATAAAAATTCTTATAGAATTGAGAATGAAGTTTTCAATACATCTCAGATCATGAATTAGTAACTACATCCAATCTCCAAAAAATTTTAATTGTTTTTATTTTTTTTTATATTTTTGTTATTTACATAAGATTTCTCTTATTTATTTTTAAGCAAGTTCTCCAGGGAGCTTAATTAATCCATGATTTATGTTTTGTTTTTCGTTTCCTTTTCATTTGTTTCGAGAGATCTACTCATCAATTTTGATTCTTTTTCAATCGAGATATATAGATTCATGGTCGACATGTCTATATAGATCTTGTTCATGGATTAACGAAAATGTGCAAAAGTTCTATTTGTCTCTGTCATTCTATGAGTCTCTTCTTTTTTTGTGTATGGCATCGCCACTACCTTTGGCAGCATCCACTAATTTGGAATTTAATTTGAAAGTCATATTTCGACCTGGAAGTTTTCGGGATGCCTCCAATAACCAACAAATCGCAAGTGCGTTTCCTATTTCAATGGGAACTTGACGAGTTGATTCACCTACGCGTCTTGCTTTTACTGTTATATGGGAGTTACTTCACATATTGCTTGACGTAAAACAAATAGAAGATTTGTTTCTGTCTTTTGTTGAATCTTTTTCATAGCTCAATAAATAATTTGATAAGTCAATGATTTTTTCCGTGTTTCAGAATACAAGTAACCAACATGTTAACTAATTGATTACAATAAAATGGATCAGATTTTGCGTGACATGGGCGTAATAGGAGGAATCCATTTTTTTATAACTTTTATAAAGGTTAAAATCATTTATTTTGGCTTTTTGTCCCCATATTGTTGGGTGAATCTCGAAAGATATGAAAGTTCTTCCTCCAAGCCATACATACAAATTTCACCGAATACGTCTTTTCATATAATTCTATATGTATCTTTGATATCTAGTATGGAATTTTGTTTACTCACTTGAAATGAAGTATTTGTTCCCTCTTTTCCTTCTAGGATTAGAAATCATGTATTTTACATATTCATACGATTGAGTCCATGGGTTTTCAAAATAGTATAAAGTGTTTCGAATCATTGCTATTTGAATCGACTTATTCTAAAAAAATTGAGGCATTTCGAATTGTTTGTTGACACAGACAAAGTCAAGAAAAACCTCTGAAATTCTTTTCATATTGGACCTTGGACATATCATAGTTCCGAATCGAATTTCTATAGAAATAAAATCTCTTGTCTCATGGTAGCCTGCTCCAATTCCCTTATGAAACTTTCGTAATTGGGTTAGTCATACACTTTACATGTTTCTAGCTATTCACATGAAATTTTCAAACGATATAAGTCTTGGATAAGAATCTACGACGCACTAGAACACCATTGTTGACGATCCTTTACTCCAACGACATCTAGGGTTCCTTGAACAATGTGATATCTCACACCGGGTAAATCTTTAACCCTTCCCATGTCTATAACTATGTTATCTCTATCATTGCTAAGTTCAGGTTTTTTTTTGCTGGATCAGATATGAAGATTTCAGCCCTTTTCTTCCTTATTTGCATTCCAGGTTCATTCTAAAGAAAGGGTTGGAAAATGGAATCAAACAAAAGGTCAAATAGGCCTCCCATCCCATTCTATTTCCTAAGATAAGATTTGTTGTAGTTCGGAGTCTCGTACTAGTCTCGCCCTATCTAAAACTAAAAGAAAGGTGGATGGAAGATGACTTTCTTAATAAGCTCTCTCGCTTGACTTTATCAGTATAGCATTTCTTGCTAGATCGGATTGAGAGTGACTTCTTCTGCTGTCTATGTTTTCAAACATTTCATTGGAGTTGACATTTTCTTCATCTCAGTCAGTGTAAGCTTGCTCCGCACACAAAGGTTACATATGGGTCTTTCATTGATTTGACTTTTCAATTTATTTTGGAAGCTCTTCCTTCACTCCGAGCACGCTGTTTAGATCTATTTCGGTTGCCAATGAAATGGAATATGGGGAACTCTTCGTCTAAGTGGTTAATACGACAAGTCAATTCTCAATGTGATGTTATTATTCGTTCGACGATCCTACTTCTGATGTCTAGGACTACAAAATGTTCTTGTAAATTATACAAATATTGGGTATATAAGCAATAATTTCAAATTTAGAGGTTAAGCATACTCTGATAACTTTACGTAAGATAGAGTTTGGTTTTTTGGGTATAATAGTGGAAAAGTTTATAGATAAGTCACCCTTACTGCCACTCTACAGAACCGTACATGAGACTTCACTTCATATGGCTCCTCATTCAAATTTTTTTTGAAGTCATTGAATCTGTTTCCTAGTTCGATTTAAGAATCTCTCCCCTTCTTCTAATTCGTTTCAAAGAGTAATTAGAACAGTCACGTTTTCATGTTCCAATTGATTACTTTCTTTTTTATTATTTTCAAAGAAGAATTCTTTTTCTTTCTTTTTACTAAACATATGTGGATCCAATCACGATCTTCTAATAAGAACAAAAATCTTCTAGGAACAATCTTTTTGCCCCATTCTTCTATTATCAAAAAGATCTCTTTCAATAGTTTGAATTTTTTTCGTTTGAAATCAAGACTCTTCTACTACATTTTTATTTACTTTCTTTTTTTTATTTTCTTCCATCATTCCTTAACTCCTACAAGATTTGGTCACGTAAAATCTGACTCATTTCATCATTGAGCGAAAAGTACGAAAAAAATCAGATCGATTTTTCGATCAAAAGTACTATGTAAAATCCTCGATTTTTCCCTCTCTCTATCTTGTAGGTAAAGCGTTTGAATAAATAGATAACCATTTCTTCTGTATCTGGATGAATCGATATTATTACATTCAAATTTCTTCCCGATATTTCCTAAGGAACCAAATTGAATCTCAAATTGACGGATTAATATGAGTTTATCGATGCGGTTATTCACCCTTTGAATATTCTTAGCTAAGAGAATTTATTATTAGATGAATTGGATGAAGAAAAGGAAAGAGGGTACAATAATAGCTTAGCTTAGTAGGTAGTTAGTAATCGACTTCGTGTACACTAACAGTAGCTAAATGTATTGCTCTCAGCATGTCATGTTTTTCCATTTTGCTCCTATTGACCGAGCAAACTATTTTATGCTAATACCACAAGTATGGTGCAATTGTGCATCTTTCCTTCGATGGAAGAATACACTAAATTTGTTTGCTTTGATCGTGTTTTGTTGCTTTCTGGGGAAGCTTTGATGGTATCAGAGTTCTTTATCTCTTCTACACAAGGATGGCAAGGAATTTGCATTCCTTGAATTCGAATCAACGGTATTGTTAGATTACATGGGCAGCATCCATGATTGTGAATCTAAACCCAATACTAAATCCCACCAGATTCTATTATGCGCATTGAACGAAAATCCTATAGCAGTTATAGTTACACCACCATTGAGTGGAGAAACTATTATACTTTGACCAGATTGATGAAGCAAACGGTGATTTCAAAGAACAAATGCTATTGATCAACGAATTATCCATATAATAAAGGCTATACTGATGTCTAGAATGATTTGAAAGTGATACTCTCTCAAGGAGATCTCACTCGAATTGCTGGCAGGAAAGTTAATTAGTTTGATTGTAAAAATAGAAGGAAAGAAACATGGGGAGTAATTTTCTGAGATGAAGAGATTGTGGAGGAAAATGCTTCACTGCACATGTCCAACATTTCTTTCAATACCAGCTTGGAGCAATGCTAACAAGAATCTATTATCCGTTTTCTGATGGGACCGAATAATGATTCGTTTGCTAGGCTGCTAGTGTGAGGTTCCTCTTCGGATCCGTTATCTATATGAATGGGCTTTTTTAATAATAATCCACTGGAGACAGATTCAACATAAAATAGTATCTAATTTATAAACATTTGTTACTGCATTCCAGAACAAGAAACCGACAGGAAGAGAGGCAAACGTGGAGGAACAGGAAATGAAAATATAAGTACATTTTGCAGGAAATCTAGGCATATAATGGAAACCTGCTCAAAAAGGTATGGTGGTTATCCACCTACGATTTGAAAGAAGGTGAAGTCCCAGCAGATAACGAAAGTGTTAAGGACAATGATGACTCGGAATCTACAATGTTTACTAAAGAACGATATCAACCCCTGTTAGCTTATAGAACATGTGCTATTTCATGCAAATTTTAGAGGCTTATGAAAAGAGTATTCGATTAACATAAAATCTACTTTCATTTTTGTTAAAGTAAACATACGTCTAATCTGAATTGACACAAGACATGAGGGAAATATACTCCATTAGACAAAAGACGTCATCATAAAGGGGACAAAGCTATGATTAAAAGAAACTTTACAGTAAAGTGAGTGTCTCTGATAGAAAACGAATATGAAAACGGCGAGTCATGGGCCACGAAAAAACCAGCAAGTTAGAGACATGTGGGTCAACACATGATTCTTTCGAAAATGTATACCCCCCCCCCCTTTGTTAACCTTTAACAAATTTGCTGTCAAAACAATAAACCCCTTAAACAAAGTTACTGTTGTCGCAACTCCGAGAAACTGGCTTTCAACTAGAAAATTTGGACGACAATAAAGTTACTTTGCCCTATACCAGAATTTCAGCAGCACTAATTAAATATTCCAAAATATTTTCATTTCATCATTGACGCGAGGAAAAACAGAAATCAGCAGCACTTCTTAAAATAGGCAAATATTTCTGTAAAAGGAAACATCCTTCTTTAGTCATACTACAGAAGGTCGTGTCATGCAAAGCATTTAAAAACATCCAACTAAAATACTAGGACATGCAGAAAAGGCGTTCAGGAAAAGAAAAGCATTGTAATTAATATATGAGTATAAATCACATATCCACTCCAAAACTTCAAAATAATTATGAGCTCCACTAAATAACCGATCCCATCACTTACCACAAGTAGCAGAATCAACGTCCAAAAGGACTCAACATGTAGTAGAACAGTATATTCATCAATGCACACAGGAAATCAGTTACTTCAAAATGCCACGAGTACATTCCTTAGACAGTTATAAGTATTGGAAAAAAGTGCATGACATAAGTTAGTCAATCAGAATTATGTTATTATTTACAGCATTATCAACCATGTCAAAATAACTCAACGTCAGACAAACTCCTATCCACAGATTTAACATTAATATTGCAAGCCAATTTGAAAGGGGGTGTTAAACTCCGGTCCGGGTATAAAGCTAGTTAAAGCAAGAACTCACCTTAAAGCCTTGGTGATGGGAAATTTAAGATCATGTGACTAAATCATGCAAACCACACGATTTACAGGAATGTTCAAAACATAAATGTTGAAGACTACGAGTAATGCTCAAAGAATCAACAGATTCAAGTTGGTAATAATTTAAAAAACAGAAATTTATCATTGAAATTGCTCCAGACAAATGTCTAATTATCTAACATCAAACCACCCGCAATACCAGACGGACCACACCAAATGTCATATCCGGACTGAGCTCCAAATGAACATGCAGTTGCCAAAGCCAATCCTCAAGTTGCTGTTAGTTCAAAAACTGATAATCTTATAGTGGTCTACAAACATCATATTATTCTGAGATTTCAGAATTGAGATTATGGTTGGACGAATAAATGCTTAGGAAGGACACTCTAAGTAATAAGAAACAAAGGAATTAGCAAGTGATGGAAGTGTGAAAGCAGAAGCTCAAAATCACAGATCTATCTGTAGCAGGAGCAGGGTGTTTAAATTTAGTAACAACCAAATGGGAATACATACATTGAACATTTTACAACTATCACCTGGCGAGGAAGCAATTGCAAAACTAATTAGTCGATGAATTCCATTTTGTCAACAGAATAACGAGTGAAACATCAATTTTGCTTCAAACTAGTTTGCACTGACTAGTATAACACTAACTCACTCTCATACTGTAATGCACAAGCTACAAAACCCAAAACAAAACAAGTGAGAACTGACAAGTCGCAGCAGCCTACGCCAAAAGAGTCCTATCTATCACATAATCAAGTTAACTGCGTTTGTTTCTCCCCTCACCTTAAACCTTCAAAAGCTGCATCTTGTTGGCGAAAGCAACAGCAATCCAATCAGGCTGAGCCGCGGACCACTGCAGCTGGTTGATTTCACAGCCAGCAGAATACATGCACATGGGATCAATCCCAGTGGGAGAAGCAAGCGTGGGCAATTCCCAGATAAGAGCCTGAGTATCATCCCCGGCAGAACAAATATGCGTGGAGCTATGAGGGGCCCAAGCAATGGCATTCACACTCCCACGATGCCTCTCTAACTCCGCCACAGGGGTAGTGGGGGACCTAATATCCAAGATCACAACTTTATTACTATCCATCAAGATGGTAGCCATGTACCTCAGGTCCTGCTTGTTCCAAGCCAAACGAAGCAAAGGGGTGTCGGGGTGGGGGCTCTCGTAGATGATGGTGGAGTGCTCTTTGTCGCGCAAATCGAAGATTCGGACGGAGCCATCGGCGGAGACGGAGGCGAAGACTCTGGCCTCGCCCCAGGCGATGTCGTAGACCTCCTTGTCGTGGGCGATAAGCTGCGTCTCGACGACGGTGCGTTCGATGTCCCAGATGGTGCAGGTGGTGTCGATGCTGGAGGTGCCGATGCGGTTGGGCTCGATGTCGTTCCAGTCGAAGGAGGTGAGGGGGGCGCAGAACTCGCTGGTCTTGCTGTTGTTGAAGAGGGAGAGAGGCTCAACGGAGTTTTCGCGGACGTCCCAGAGGCGGAGGTAGTCGCCGGAGGTGGCGAGAAGGTCGGAGGAGGAGGAGGGGGAGGGTTTGCGAGGGTGGAACATGAGCTTGGTTGGAGGGTAAGGGTGGTCGAAGGAGAGGGAGGGGTGGGGGTTGAGGGAGAGGGTGTCGGGGTGGAAGGAGAGGATGTGAACGCGGTTGGTGTAATCTTCGATGAAGCTTCCGAGGGCGAGACGGTGGGGGTGGGAGGGGGAGAAGGCCATGGCGTAGATTGGATACGGTGATTCGTAGGTGACCGAGTTCTCCGATCGAAGGTGGGATTCCTGGGTGGAATTATCCATTTTGTTTGGAAGGGAATCGGAGGAAGGATTGATAATAATGTTTGAGAATCGAGGAAGGTGAACTGAAATGTTAGGTGGGAGGAAGAGAGGGGGAGAGTGGGAGTTGAGAGGGAGGAGAAGAGAAGAGAAGAATTCTCGTTACTTGTCTTTCACTGGAAAAGTCTCTCTCACGTGAGGGCGTTAGCTGTGGGCGTGATATGGCATGCCAGATTTGACGAGACACATGAAAACCCCAAAAAGAGAAGAAACTTCCGCGCCTCTTATTCCATTCAACCCCCACTTCTTCACACCTTACTTTTTAGTTATTTATCTTTTGAAAATTCGTTGTACTCCCAGTAAAAATGTCCGAGGAACTCCATGCCTTCGTTTCCTTTTTTCTACTATTGTTTTTCATAAACATAATCCAAAATAATAATTGTTGTTTTGAACAGAGCAGAACAATAAAGTACAAACACCTCAGAGACAACATACATTATCTGCATCCCATTTTCTTATCTTCTATCTCCTCAACTAATTCATCTACCCATTTAACAAAAATCACCACAACTTCTAAGGCATTTGACCAAACGTTGAGATGGAAGAAGATAAAAAACATGCCATGAAAAATATAAATTCACAGCGAATATCTTCAAAAGAATTTGAGATTAACCTTTTCTTGAATTACTTCTCCTTGTGACGTATCTCTAGTAATTTGCATACTTGGATTCTACACAAGTTTCTATATCACTCACAACATCCTATTCCTATTCTTCTTTCAGATTCATTCTCGGCATCATCTTTACCTTTTTCATTTCCTCATTGTTGCTGCAAGCTACCCACATATCACTCTCAACGTTTCTCAATCCTTTATTATATACACAACTTTCATATTCACACCTTTTTAACCCTTTATGCACAAACTTTAATCCACATTAACCTCCTTTTAATAAAAATATTTAATATAATTAAAAGGAGACTAAGAACTCCACTCCACTGTGTCTCTACATTTTTTTTTTCTAAATTTGAAGTCATTCTTCCTGATCTTTATTTTTACATATTCGTTTTACTTGGAGAAAAAATTATATGAATTATTTGATATATCTTCATTAATTTTTCATAATCATATTTTCGTTTTTAGGATAAAGAGTTGCATTATTCTTCTTTCATAACAATAAGTACACTAATTTTTGGATCGGACGCACTAATTTTAGGATAATGACAAAAGAAACCAGGCCCAAAATATTACCGGCCCAAACAAAGCCCAGTCCAATTAGAGGACATTGGAGAACCATGGACTGGGTTCCACTGACTCAAATTATATAACAAAAGAGCTGGGCTATTCAGTTTTTATCTCTATTGAATTTTTCTTTTTTATAATAAATTTTAAAAATTAATACTTATTAAATATAAATATTACATTTTAAAATTTTTACGTGAAGTTTTTTTTTTTAATATTGTGACGTAAAGTTTTTATAAAGTGAATTATATAGGTTATTACGAACAACTAAACGTACAGATAAATAAGTGTTAAAAAAAGATATTTTATGTTCTACAATATATTTAATGAGACACATTTTATTTTCTTTGACATCTCGAAAAGTAAGTTTTTAGAATTTTTAAAAGATAACGTGTAAGAAAAAATATATTTTGTATTAGAGATAAAACATTATGAAAAGAAAAAACTTTTTGATATAATTTTTACATTTTTATATTTCATAATGAATTTTTCTTTATTTTATTTAATGTTCAACTCATCGTTTATTTTTTACGATAAGCTCGCAGTATGTCGTTTGTCCCACGTTATTATTCCTTGACAGTAATTCATAGGATTTAAGATTTAAAATGTAGGGTTTAAAGATAAATACAAAAGACACAAGTGTATTTTTTTGGAAAAAAAAGATAAATATGTTAGTTAAAATTAAAAAGAATTTCATAAAGGGAGTGTAAATAAAGAGGAGCCCAAATATTTTTATGTTGCAAAAAGTAAAATACAATACTGAGAGCCTGTTAAAATGATCTCAAAGCCCAACATTGGCGCATTAATTTCATGAAGCAATGTAGTTAAAATTTATTAAATTAATAGAGAATATAGACAATTGATAGAGAGATGATAAAATTATTTTGTATAAGATTTTTTATTTTTTCACTTGTAAACATGCAAACTAAAATTTTCGATGTTACAAAAAGAAAAAAAAAATGTAACCAAAAAGAGAAGTGAAATTAAAATTGCCCACCCATTGGCCTTTATAGTCATGGAAAGACACCCATTTTATGATTCCTCTTGGTGAGTAGTTATTATAGTATAAAGTCTCATGTGGTCCCCCTGTACCTAGCATTTAGTCATGTGACATGTTTAGTATACTATGTATCATTATTATAAGTGGTAAAGTTGTATTGTTATATTAAAAATATTTGGTTGGTTAAATTCTCATAAAATTTCTGTATTATTCATATTTTTCTGTTATTTTTTAATTATTTTTTATTCTTATATTTAATCAATGCTTTACAAATAAATAATTACGCTCGATCTAAATTATAATTGAATTTCAAATGTTAAATCGAATTACACGTTTGCTTTAAATAAATTATTTTATTTGCTTTGCTTGTCAAATTTGAAAAGTCTTACATTTTTATTTAAGTTTACCCAATAAAATAAATTGTTTAGAAAAAAAAAGTTATATGATGCATGATGTTATTGTTAGTTAAATATATCTTTATCATCTACTTTTTTTTTTTACAACACTAGTTTATTTCTTTGATTTAAACGTTTTTTTATTATATTTAAAGAATTATTATTATTATTATTATTATAATTTTTTTTTCTCAACCACACATTATTTTACACTTTCACATATTTCTATTTCACCTCTTTACATGGTAATTATTCTTAATATATATAATTATTTGATCTGTTTCTAGAATTCCTAACTCTGTCTATAAATGTAAAAAAATAATAATAAAAAAAAAATCACAACTTCTGAAGGAAGTATTTAACTTTCCAACTTGGCAATGCATTAATGAGTGTGCTTAATGGGATATAGAAAATTCTCACCATATTTATATTACGACACTTTTTTCAACTTGATAATCTTTTAAATGAGAATCATAAACTTCTAAAGTTGAAAATTTTGTCAAGTTAATTTTTTTCAACTAACAAAGTTATATTTATATTGATAATCTTCCTTTTTTAAGATGTTAAATTTACTAATAAAATAACTTTTCTAATGAAAAACGATGAACGATAACGAGTTGCAGCTTGAACCGAGGGAAATGTGTCCGACATTTATGAGCGTAGATGTGGAAGAGGTCCCAAGTGGACTTGGTCTTAATAAAAACATTATGTCATAGCGTCGTCATGCGATGACGTAATTTCGATGACATATGAGAAGGTTCACATGAATCCATTTATAGATGTTTATTGGTAGATGACAAACGCTACGAATTAGATCAATTTTCTTTTCGAATTGCAGCGAATCTGATAAAAAAATATCAATCTATTGTAATCGATTAGAAAACTTAATTTATTCATTAACTATATTTTTATATATTACAACCTGGGTTAGAACTTAGGAGCACTATATGTGTAGCAAGTAGTCGAGCTCAATTTACGAAGCGATGCCTCGACATCCAATCCTAAACCTAGAAAAGTAAATAATAAAATAATAATCATAGTTTATTTTCCTTTTATCATCATCATCATCGTTATCATTACACTTCATACAAATTCTTCATTTTTCTTCATCTAACAATCTATTTCTCCCATAAAACTTCTAATACGTTAATCTATAATCCTATACAATGTTAAACGTTATTTTTTAATACATTTTTCACTACTGCAAAAAAATGCTTTTTACATCAGTTAAAATGGGCTTTCGACGTCGATTAAAGCGGCGACATAGATACGAGGGTCATAGAAAATAAGACTTTCTACGTCGGTTCCTACTAACCGACGTAGAAAGTAAGACTTTCTACGTCGATTAATAGGAACCGACGTAGAAAAACCTACTTTATTTGAGCTATTATGATCGGTCAAAATGGTTATGATCGGTCATAGAGCTATTCTGATCGATCATAACTGGTTCTGATCGGTCATAGAAGGACTTTCTACGTCGGTTAGTCGAGAACCGACGTAGAAAGTCTTATTTTGTATGAGCTATTCGATCGATCATAACTCGGTTTCGACTGTCATAATACTTTCTATGTCGGTTAACACTTATAACCGACATAGAAAGTCTTACTTTCTAACTTTCTATAACCCAGTATCTATATCGGTTAACAGTAACCGTTATTGTATGTGTTATCAATGTCGGTTATGCCTATAACCGACATAAAATGTTACACTTTCTACGTTGGTTATGCCATTAACCGACGTAGAAAGTACTTTCTACGTCGGGTAATGACATAACCGACGTAGAAAGTGTTATTTTTTTTTAAAATACCTGCATTTTATTTACAGATGCTACCTTTCTTCGAGTAGACTCGCCTATTCATCACAGTTCCGGACAAATAACCACAGATCCAGAGATGACAGATATGCACAGTTCATATATAAATTTGCTACAAATATATATCCAGTACAGACAGATTCAGTTGCAGACAGATATGTACATATGAAACACATTGAAATGAATATATGTACAGACAGATCCAGTTCTACCCAGTTGAATAAATTTCCTATGAATATATGTAAATTTCCTAACTTAAATCAATTCTATCTAAATTGTTACAAGTTAAATTTCCTATGAAGATTGAATGCTTAAAAGGAAAGAAGCCCACTGCTCTCTAATATCGTCTAAGACTTCAATCTTCATTGGAGATGAGTCTGTAAATTCCTACATATTGAAACATTTCAGATTTAGAAACCATTTACATAATTGGCATATTTGACTTAATTATAGTATATTTACCTCCCTCCATGAGCCCATAATATTTTTGTCTACGATGGTGTGCATGTGCTTCATCACATAATACCCGCACTCATGGCTTCCCGGTTGCCGTGGACACTACAAGTTAAATACATG